CTCTCATCATGAGCAATATCAAGCTTCATCTCCTACTGCCCATCCACAAAGAGAAGCCGAATAAAACTCCGTAATGAGTTCTCACTGTGGAAATCTTTCCCACCATCCATGTTTTGTGCACCTTTGACCTCACATCCCCATAGAAAACGACCTTTGCTGCATCTCATGGCTATGATCAGTTAACACCGAGTTTTATATTACATTCAAATCCCCTACGACATGACTTAAATCTGAACCAAAACAAGGGTAAAAGGTGTGAAAAAATCCAGTTATAGCTTCTTTATAAATGATGATTCCGTTTAAGAACTAGAAAGTACTATTCAAAAGAGAGGATAAAAGACATCTTCTACAGTAAAGCATTAATCTAGAAAGGGACTCACAGCTTTCAGGACTCCTAGGAGGATTTACTATCTGCATTGTCTATAAATCATGCCATGTTAAACCTCATCTGTTGCAAATACTTTCCAATCAAAGTACTGGGGTACAAACCTGCATAACACGATCCAGAGTCAGTGCTACAGGAGGGGTTTGGCTGGGGGGGGGGGTCTCAGGGTGCTCCTCTGCTCTGGAGCCTACGTGACCTTCCTATCTTTGTGCCTCGGTAAAGGTTGTGAGTCATCCACTGCTGCCGTTACACAGATGAACTAAGTTAATAAAAGAGACAGGGCAAACATCCTGTTTTGTTCTTAATTTGTATCACTGACTAAGCTGGAGCTTAATTAAGCACCTTCCCTCCCTATAGGACAGTCTGATCATCCTCACCTATGTATGTAAAACACTACACAGGGTCAATATATACTGTTCTTTATACCAGAAAGCTGTATCACTATGTCACCACAATAACCGAACCTGTCACCAAGCTAGGTAGAAATGCCAAAGATGCAATGGGTTGAAGAGACTGAAATACCCTCTCAGCTCTAGAGCTGATGTCTTCCTCCTTCATACAAGGTATTGAGACGTGCGTGGAGCAGAGCTCATTCTTGCTGAATCATTCAAAGCAAGCCTTTTTCCTGCTTATAAATGATCCTCAACATGGCTGCTTTCCTGCCACGTGCATTAGCACGCAGGGTTTCTCATCTAAAGCATCGAGCAAACAAATCCTAGCTTGTGAATTGCTGTCAAGCTCTTCCCCAGTCATCTTCCTCTCATCTATAAGCCTATGGTTCCCGTGGGGTGCCTGGCCCCATCAGCCACAGGCGCATAGTTCTGCTTCCCAGGACTCCGAGTATGCCAACTGACTTCCCAACTGACTGTGCACAAGAATTAACAAGATTCTGATCTCAAACACTCCTCTCAGTAGCCTGGATGCAGGTGAACGCTCCTTAAAAGATGTTGCCATCGAGGAGAACATCTCAGCTGCCACATCAACAGCGCGCCAAACGCTGCATCGGCTTCCCTCACCCTTCTCCCTGCTATTGAGGGGTGCTGGGAGCAGGGTGCTGGGCATGTCCCAAACCCATCCTGCAGGGAACACAACGGGAGGTGGTAAAAACCTCCCAGCAAAGCAAGTAATAGAGAAAAGGAGATTTTTGTGTTTGACAACTAGATGAGTAATCATCCCCAATTCCCTGCTTCACCCTAATCCCCGCTGAGTCACTGGGGCCCTGCTGATACCCTGGGCTGGGTGACTCCTCTCTCAGAGGCTGCCAGGGATTTTTGCCATATGGCAACAAGGAGATTTGATTAGTTGACTGTTTCCTATTTGTTTTAATTAGTAGTTTATTAGCCATATGTTAAATTGCACATTTCAACTACTCAGCAGCGTTACTGGAAGTCAGAAAGAATCTGGATGGGGTTTCTCTTTCTTCCTGAGCCACGTGGGTATTGCCTTTGAGCATAATGTCACCTGGTGGGAGAGCAGGAGTGTTCTCCCTTGTCTCATCCTATCTCATCTCTTCTTGTTTTATTCAATCTCATCTTGATCCTTGAGGTGCTTTCCAACCTGATATTCTATGATTCATCTGCCACCTTTGCCAGCCCTGGGCAGGGGAGCAGATCAGACCCCTGGCTGCCTACCAGACCTGCTTGTCACACTGGTGGATGCTGATGGGCCTTGGCATGCCCAAGCTCTGAGAGGTCTGGTCTGCTGTGGGACACCCAAGGACAACCTCCTGAATGAGCAGTGTGGGGCTTCTCCTCTGTCTTCATAGCAGATTAACAGAAAACCTCTGCATCAATCACACTGTGGTGTTTGCACCTCTTTGTTTCTGCATTCCCATCAATCAGTCAGTTAAGTATTAATGGGAAATAGATAAAGAACACAAAGCTGGATGGGGCTTTGAGCAACCTGGTCTAGTGGAAGATGTCCCTACCCATGGCAGGGATTGGAGCTAGATGAGTTTTAAGGTCTCGTCCAACCCAAACCAGTCTGTGATTCTATGACAGAGTAGATTCAGTTTAAAACTCACTACAATATACACAAAGACCTGAGAGTGGTTTTAACTCAGTCCTGGCACACAAGCTTTTATTGCAGACAGGTTCTGGCACCAAGGGCTGCTGCTACCATAGGTTTTACCAGCACACAGCTCTTTCTAAGAAGAGCTAACCACAGATCCCATATTCCATCCCACCTCTTGTCAGGAAACCACTGGGAAAGTCATTGCAGCATCTGACTGAAAACACCACCAGAAAGTTCTGGGCAGCTCAGGAAACATCCCAGACCTGTGCGGGTCCAAAGAGGTCCAGCAGGGCCTTGATGTGGTGCTGGTGGCCCATGGAAAGCACAACCCACTCACAGCATCACTCAGGACACTCCTGATGGCCATACCTGGAGAGCAGCTTTCTTTTGCTTTTTTATGTTACTGGATTAATAATAAATATTAATTACAATTATTAATATCAATTAATAATTAATAGTTCATAAATAACTGGATTTCTCCAGTGATTTGCCCAGAGCTTTTCCAGCTCCTCCGATTTCTCTCAGTGACCAGCACTGATGGCAGACACAGACTTTTATCAAAGCTCCATTTCCAGCTTCAGGTTTTACTACTTCTGCACACAGAAATGCACGAACGCACTAATCATTTATCCTTGACTACCTTTACTTATTCATATTCTTATGGCTTTCCACCATTACCACACTAGATGTCAAAGCAATTGCACATCATTAAACACCAGATTCTGGAGTTTTATTCTAGGCTAATTTGTTTAAATGTGTTGACTTTTTTTTTCCCTAAGAGAACCACGAACATTTTACACACTCATCTCAGCAGCCTCTCCATGACCATTTCCTTCCATCACAGAAATGTCAAGTATTTCACAGCTGCACCTTCTCTCGGAACGCATCTTTAAGACGGGTTTAGAATGCAGTTTAGAAATGCAGGTTCCTAGATGTTGGGATTGATTTTGTTTCGTCCATCAGCTCAGGGGTTGTAACGGCCTAAAATGCAGCAACTCCACTCTCAGATTTAATCACCGCCTTCCTCCGATTCACTCCTGCACTCGCTCGCTGTGTGGGCTCAGATCAATTTTTAGATTCTAATGACTGACACATGTTTAAAATACATTTCAGTTGCAGCTTACAATAGCTCCCAGGTACAAATTTGCAAGCGCAGATGATTGCAGCCCCAAGCCCTTGCCATTGCCATGTGAAGGTGGGTGGAAACACTCATAGATGCTGATGGGCGCTGGGTGCAGATTCCACCACCCTGCAGCGGCTCCTGGTGCTCCTGGGGCAGGAGCTGCCTCCTCCTCCCCAGCACAGCATAGAATCAGAATCAACCAGAAAAAGACCTTTAAGATCAAGTCCAACCATTACCCCAGGGCTGCCAAGACCACCACCACACCATGTCAATAAGGGCCTCATCAGCATCTTGCCTTCCCTGGCAGCAACCAACAGCCTCAAGCCTTCCTCCAGCCCAACAGGCACTCGGGTGCTTTCCAAGAGCCCAGGGTTGAGTACGTAGCTCTGACTTTACTAAGCAGCCCAGAGCAGAGCAGCAAAGCTGCTTTTCACAGCTCGATAATAAGAGTTTTCTCAAGCGATCGTGTTCCACTGCCCTCCAAGTGGTTTGTACATCAACCTATTAATACTCCACACCCTCTCCCCAGCCTGTGGGCTGTGCTCTCTGTAATATTCCCCTCAAAATAACTTGAGGGTGGCATGAGGAGATGGAGGTTATACAGCTGTCCACCTCACATGAACCAGCAGCAGCAGCAGCATCCCACCCCACTCCTCGTGCCAAGCTCGGTGACATTTTGGCGTCTCTACTGTGACAAAACATAGGTGCTTACTACAAGAGCATTACAAAGCATTACTAATGGAAGGAGGTTTTGATTAGCAGGCCCTGGAGAAGGAGTTCTGCTCAACAGTGAATCCTGGAGCTTGCTGACGTTCCCTTGTTCACATCAATCCAGCAAGCCCAAGCCTGCACGCACCAACACACAGGAGCTCCTTTTCCACAGGAGCCAACTTTCCCCTCGGTTTCAAACACATCCCTGCACCCTCCCCAGCTCCTGTATTCCTCAGACCCAGCTCTCTCTGAGACACTGGGGTCAATGAGCTCTGCCTCTGCCCTAGATGGGACAGGGAGACATTTAACAGAGCCCTCCATGGCTGCAGTGCCTGTGCCACACTGTACAGCACAGGAAACCTCTTGATATTGCATTTCTGAGTATTTCAACTGCAGGCTCGCCCATATCCCAGTCTCCTGATGGTCTTTCCCCACAAAATGAATCCCACCATCCCAGCTCATCCACTTCGCGCTGCGGAGGAGTCACCAACACTCTTCCTGCAGCACAAGATGTTCATTTGTGTACAGAAGCAATGAGAGAAGCCTCCCTCTAAGAAGGGATGAGGAGCTTCATGTTTACCCTGCCTGGTATATGAGAGATTATAATGCCACTGGTCATGTTAGGAAACACTGACAAATGGGACAAAACACGGAGGTAATCCTTGAAGCCAACTGAAACCAAATATTCTGTGTGATTTGCTTACAAGTGCAGATAGAAACATGCTCTGTGGCCTCAACGCAGTCCTGTTAAATATTAAAGTTATTTACTAAGCACACAAAGGGTCGGAACTTCCAGCTGATAGTTGGAACATGCAGATTCTGGGGAGGAATACGGAACAGCAGGGATGCCAGCAGCTCTGCCAGGGTGTGAGCAACAGGAAGTTATCCTTCAACTGGAAAGTAAGACAAATGAGACAGTATTAAAGTATCAGATAAGAAAAGATGTTCCCTTTATTAAAAAATAGCAGTACATTCTTTACATTTAGCATAAAATCTGCTGTAATTACCTAGCAGTTGGAAAGCAATTTGCAACAGGCTTTATTGTTCAGCATCTGCAGCAAATTCTCAGGGAAACATCCACCAGGGAATAAAGTAAAATGAGATGTGCCACAGTAACTACAACATTTAAATGCTTGCACAATGGAAATTTCAGTGAGGCTGAAATGAACTACGATGCAATTCTACTTGTGTTGCTGTTCTTGTTTTGTTACTTAAAGGGCTCTGGGTTTGACTCCAGGTTCTTTTTCTCCTGTATACACACACGCACCAGGAATGTTGAAATCCACACAAACTGATGAGGTTTTACTACACAAAACTAAAAATAATCATCAAAATTAAAACCAAGTCTATTGCAGCCAAGAAACAAGAAACCTTCTGGCAGATACCACCACCAGGACTTCCTATTTATCAATGCATTTACATTTACAGGGAATTTACAAGGGCCTGTAGGGACAGGCCAAGGGGAATGGCTTTAACCTGCCAGAGGGGAGACTGAGATGAGCTCTTAGGCAGAAGCTCTTCCCTGTGAGGGTGCTGAGGCGCTGGCACAGGGTGCCCAGTGAAGCTGTGGCTGCCCCATCCCTGGCAGTGTCCAAGGCCAGGTTGGACACAGGGGCTTGGAGCAAGCTGCTCTATGAAAGGGGTCCCTGCCCGTGGCAGGGGTTGGAGCTGGAGGAGCTTTAAGCTCTCTTCAACCCAAACCAGTCTGGGATTTTATGATTTACCTCTTAGAACAGGTAAAATAGCTTGCAAGTGAACTAATGACTTCCAAATTCACCACAGCATCCCAGAGTAACTATTTCATCCAGTGGAGAAAGCCGGAGTTCACACAAGGTTTTCTGGATGTTTCAAGGAAGCTACGTTTTATTCCCACTTAGCCTGGTATAAATCTGGCCTAACTTCACTACTGGTGAGACAGGCAGTCAATAGAACTGGGATGGAAACAAGTAACTTCAACTTTGTACCATTCAGGAATTCTGCCTCAGGTGCTGAAACCGATGCGACACAGGAAGAGAACGTAAGCCTGATGCTCGCCAAACATGGGGCCTCCCATGTCGCATAGAGCCAGCCACGCATTCATGGGATGTCTGTTTAGTCCTTCCTTTTTCCTTTTCTCACTGATGAAATACCATTCCTTCTGATTTAATTCAGACCATCAAAGAAAACAGGAATGTATCTTTGCAAGGAAACGTACCTTATATTCCAGCCTGGCCTGAAGCTAAATGGCATAAACAAATTCATCCCTTTCAGCAATGAGGACATGGTTGCAAGAGTGCTTGGAATTAAGGAATATTAACCAATTTCCTATGTTTTTCTCCCATGTAGAATTATGTTTCAGAACTCTGCCTCGTGCTTTGCTACCCTACATTTTCCTGCCCAAGCAGGCTGTGTGCCCTCCAGCCTCCAAGCGGGTTATTAGTCTTACAAAATGCATAGGATTAGAAGTGCATGCCTTTAAGCTCTACAGGCAGAATTTTACCCAGCGTGGTTGCACAGATACAAATGAGAACAGGGCTTGATTCTAGGATGTTTACAGTACCATGCAATTTGCTTTAACATGCTGACTCCCAATGTAAAGCAAGTTCCATGCAGAGGAAGTTAATGTCTATGTCCTCTTTCAGATCAGAGCAAAGCACACTCAAATGGGGAAATCAAAGTCTTATTATTAAGTAAAATAATTGCCTCATTCAAGAGAAAAGGGAAAAATTCAACTAATGCTCAAAGACATGGGATGATCTGTTAGTGAAAGGAAGGAATGTAATGACAGGGATGTGACTGTATGCTCTATGGGCTGGTAGGAAAGCAGGAATAATAGAGAGCAAGGAGAATCAGACAGACATTTACAAGAATCCTAGACTTTATTCAATGAATTATTTAAAGTCTATTTCTGATCTGGCACAGGAGGTCACTTGCTCTCCAGAACAGAGCAACGGGAGCCCCATCACTTCTACCATTCAAAACTGAAATGAGCCAAGTGATAGAAGATACACAGCCCAGAACCATCATCCTGTGGCTCCAGGGACAGACAATTTGTCCTTGGTAGACTTCCCTTCTTTTAGTATTTCTGACATGTTTGCAGAAATACTGGAAGTTCAGTGTGATGGCTTCACTGGGTAAACACTGATACCTCCATATGCATCAGTACATGTGGACCAAAGCTGTGGCCAGGTTCTTTGTGTTGGATGGCTTAAGTGTGCCACCACAAATAGCACCAAGCTGGATGAGACCCTTCAGACTTACCAAATGATAGCATTAAATCACAACAACTCAGTCTTGAAAGATTCCTTTGGTATTGTCTTACTAAAGAGGAAGGCTAGATGCTACCCAAAAGAGCCTTAAGGCCCTAAGCAGCCTCAGGAGCTTTCCCCTGGACTAGGGCTCTGAAGCATATGAACACTGTGACAGACAAACTTTGTCTTTATTACAGCCTTGTCAAAGAGTTGGGGAAAAAAGATAGAAATATGAGCTGAAAGTGATGAACTAAATCCCATGGAGGTTAATGACTTTAATGTCATAGCCAAGGGCTCACGCAGTATACTGCAGCAGTAATTTGGGAACACTAGCATCCCAACCTAGTTCTACAGTGGTAACTCATCCTTCCTACTTTGCTTCAGAGAGTACAGGCAGACTAACAGAAGACACATCTTCCCACACACCACCCAAGAGTTTCTGCAGACCAACCCTCCAGCCTTCCCTCCATATTCCCAGGGTTTGAGGGAGCGCATTGCATCAGTAGAAAATGGAAAGTATATCTTTAGAACAAGGTTAATATCAACAGCCCCGTTTTCCAGGTCCATGAGAGAAGGAGAGGCTGAAGTCACTCTTCATTCACCAAACAGTGCCTCTATCCCCCTTTGAAGCCATGGAGGTGTTATTCATTCTGTTTCTAGACTCTTTCATTCCCCATCCTACAAATATCCTTGACCGAAGGACTTACTATCAGAGAGGAATCTAAAAATGTACACTTGATTTACCTTGTTCAGCACATTCCCAGTGGCTGAGTTTGCCATAAATAACCATGGTGCAAAAGGTGAAGATGAACAACTTGGGATATGTAGACACAAACAGAGAGAAACAAAGAGAATAAGTTCCAGGCAAAGCCAACATACCCAGTTCCTCTCACTCCTGTTCAACTGCAGCAATTTCACATCTCTGGGAAGAAGGGAAAAAAGCTTCAAGCATGAGATTATTACATTTTGTACATTACACCCTGATAGAAGTTAAAAATAGACTCTGATGGTTGCTAAGTGCGTTTCAAATGGCTTTCCTTAGAGGTAAAAATGGGATTTGATTTGAAAAAGCAGAAGGTGGGATTCATAACATCTTGGGAAAGAGCAGAACAGAAAAATCTCCAGTTGTTGGAATGGAAAGAGCAGGGATTTCCTTACTCCTTTTTTTCCCATGAGAGATGACAAGGGGTATTTTCTGAAAGACTATTCCTGGCTTCCTAATGTACTACATGAAGAACACAGACGCAAGCTCATGGCAGTTCTCACCCCCTTCCTTTACACAAAACCACAAGGTTTGCCTTTATTCATAGGTCTGAACTCCTGAAGCATAGGGACTGAGTGCCATTCCACTAAAAGCACTGTGGTTATCATTTTGTAATTAAGAAAATTAACTGTTATAATAAAGGCTGAGAGTTGTAACTGAAAGACATCTTATGTCAGGACAACTTTTGAGGCACGCTCCAGGTATTAGGAAAGTCATTTCCTGCAGCAGTCACTGCTGTAGAACTGGGCAGCTCGTACCTAACAGGACACATACCTACTCAGCAGAAAACAGTCTTGAGATAAGTACTATTGCAGCCATGCAAACAGCATGAACATAATATTCACAATGATTAGATGCTGTTAAAGCTTATGCAGAAGCAGTCATGAGTGGACAGGGAGAGATGAGGTTGGGAAGGGCGGTAACCAGAAGCTCAAGCATCCAAGGCATGCTCTGAAGCACCAGACATTTGCTGTGAGCTTGCAGCAATACAGAAATGAGAATCACTATCCAGAGAGAGCATTAAAATGGAAGGAGAAGAGTAAAATAATGGTTCAAAGAAAGCAGGTGTTAAATTACTGGATTTACGTTATACATTGATGTGGAAGCACGTATATTGCAGGGAAAAGAAAGAAACCTCATTTACTTTCGTCTGTAACTTTTTCATTACAAACTCATTGTGTCCTTATCAAGGCAACATTAAAAAAAAACACATTACCATGGCTGAGAAAGAAAAGCTATTTATAACCAATTCTGTTGAGGGATACAGATACAGGTTTTGCATCCATTGTCAACCTAAACGTCTGGGCTTTATGCATCTGTGGGCAGTAATTGTATCAAAATAGATCAGTGTCCTAGGTTGACTCTGAACACGCAATGTGGTTTCTCTGTTCCACCTTTCAAACAACATCCATTTGTGGAGTGTTGATATTCAAAGTGGCACCTGCGGTTCATGTGAGATTATTGCTCCCGTTCTGCCTTTCATAGAGAAGGCACATGCAAATGCACAGCATGAGGTTTAGGGAGATAGCTGGGTATGCAGCCAGATGGAACAGCCTAGGGGATACTGGTTCTTCGTTAGCTATGTTCATCGTGACAGTTATGGATGGACGTGGAGAGTGCACGGGGGAGCCTGACAGGTTTTTGCCCCGTACCCAACAAGAGTGGAATAGAATATGTCAGTTCCCAACATGCTTGCTGTGACTTCAGTTGACTCCCCAGTATAATGCGAAAAGATGGGGGGGGAAGATTCTATTTCAACAAAATCAATTTGCCTCTAAAACTTCCATTATCAGATCAAGCTCATGAAAGAAAAGCAGGCAATTAAACCCAATGAAAGCTTCCCAAACAAAATCACTGAGGTTAAAGATCCACATTAATATGACAAAAGCCAGGAAATTAC